AATAATAATAATAATAATAATAATAATAATAATGATAATAATAATAATAATAATAATAATAGTAATAATAATAACAATAATAATAATAAATTTTCTTTTCTTTTTTTTTCATTTTTCATAATAAAATTGAATTACTTTCAAAAATTCGAAAATTTGCAACGATACATGTGAAATGTTATAGACAATCACATTTTTTATAGTTTTGCAAATAAAAAGGAGAGAAAATGTCGAAATTAATGGAAAATAAATGCAGGTAGCGCATGCATTGCAGTATCTGCATGAAGCAGGTTATATACATCGTGATGTTAAACCATCAAATTGTTGCATTGGTGTAATACCCGAAACAGCTATTATTTATCTTGTTGATTTTGGTAACATATTATTTCTCTTGCCCTCTGATTCTTTTTTCATTTTACTTTAATTTATAAATTTAAAAAAAAAAAAAACGAAATAAAATCATTGTTTTTTGAATTCATAAATTTCAAAAAAAAAGAGAAAAAACAAAGAGAAATCATTTTTTTTAAAAAGAAAAAGATTTTCGTTTTAAAAAGGTTTTTTTAAAAGTATTTTCAATTTATAACATTATTATTATTATTATCATATAAAGGAATGAATGGCATGAATATTTAGTGTTAATCTATCAAAATTAGCTGTTATCATAATAAATAATTGCAATAAATCCTTTTCGTTATTTTCTCTCAATTTAATCATTAATTTTTGGAAAAGCAAAATATTTACCTGTCGCTAATTAATTAATTAATTTAACTACAAAGGAAAAGAAGGGAGAAAAGCAGGAAAAACTTTAATTTGTCCATTTCCTTTCTTGTTTTCTAATCGAAAATCTTTCGAACTCTTCCTTTTCTTTTAAAATAAAAAGACAAAAAATTTATTTTGAATATTAACTTTTTTTTTGTTTACTTTGAAGGAATGTGTCGAAAGGTGATTGATTCAAATGGTAAATGGCATATGCCACGATTCAAATCAATATTTAAAGGAACTTTACGATATGCTTCATTGAATGCAATTGTCACACATCAATGTGGACCATGTGACGATATGATGGGATTAATTTATTCGATTGTATGATTTTAGAAAGAGGAAGAGATAGTGAGAGAGAGAGAGAGAGAAAGAAGAAAAAAATTAGCTTGAATTTAATAAATGTTTAATAAATTCACTGAATTTTATCTCTTCCTCTTTCTTTGATTTTTTCTTTAATTATTACAATTTCAAATTATATTTAAAGAAAGGAAATTATCACATTATCTGTTTGTTACAATTTTTGCTATTATTTAACTAATGAATCCATTAATTATTTTCTTTTTGCGAAAAAAAAGTAATAGTTTTACATAAATGTTAGAAATGAATTTTCTCCCACTCTTGTTAATTAACTTTTGATTTATTAATTCAAAAAAAATAAAAATAAAAGTAAACATAAGTTATACCTAATTATAATGTATTAGGTTAGTATTGCAACATTCGTATATTTTAGTAAAATATTTTAAATAATAAAATAGTACTTTAAATTTGTGCAGAAATACGGAAATCTCGTTTTTTCTTTTATATAATAGAAAATAAAAGTTAGTAGAAATTTAATTAATTTGATTTATCAAAAAATTCATTAAGTAAAATATGAAATTTTTTTCCTTTCCTCTTTTTTTAGATCGAATTAGCATTATCAAAATTACCATGGGCAAGAAGTGCGCCTCGTGATATGATAAAACAAAAAGCAACAATTACCGGTGAAGAATTATGTGCTCAATTACCACTACCATTTTTACAATGTCATAATTATATTCAAAGTTTAAAGCCAACTGAAATGCCACGACACAATTTTATTAATGAATGTCTTAAACAATGTATTCCATTAAATGTTCAACCAACTGATCCCTATGATTGGGAAATTATCGATTTTACGTAAATCCTTAAAATTTCCTCTTTCCTATTTTCACCTTTTTTTTCTTTTTCTTTTACTGTATTTTTGCTAGTGATAACAGTTAATGTATCAAGATAATATATGCCTCATATCATGATATCACGATATTATTTGTCTATGGTAAACGCAAAATGATAAAAATTTAATTCCACTAAAATTTAAACCTTTTCCACAAGAAAGAAACAAGAAGTGGCAAGAAATCTAAATGATTAATATAAGTAGGATTTAAATATGGATGGAATTAGATTTGCATCTGACATAAAACAGAAACCCCTTTCTTGATCACTTCAAATGGAAAAAGAAACGGACATACGGTCATCAGTCGTCTCACAAACAATACCCACCATCTGTCCCATCATTCCAATTCTAATTTCACATGCAGAACTATTTGAAAGTACTTCCGTAAAACTGAAGACACTAACAGTAAATTAGCACTGCAACATCCATATATGAAACTATTCCAACTTATCCGTATAACTTAAACTTCGATGCAATATCTGAAACACCTGCTTTTACTAAATGCATAGTAACCTGCCATGCATAATCACAAGTATATTGAAAATTTTATTATTAAAAAGAAATCTTTTTAACAGACATAATATGCTACGGTGTAACTTTCAAAGGGATTTAGCAATACCTTAAATTATTTTACCGCAATCCATGACGTTCATTTAACTTGGGTGTAAACTGCAAGTAACACATGTTGACATGAAAATAATCATGTTTCTTTTTTTTTTCCAAGTCCATAAAAAATAACCACAGATAGTACACAAAACGCGAAAACTCATTGTGTATCAAACCGCAAACATAAAGTCTTGAAACGTTAATTACAAAACTGTAACAGGTAAAAGTGTTATAATTGGGTTGTCGAAAATCGAAAAAAGAAACGATTGTTGCATGAAAACGAAAATCTTGAAAAAATAGAATTTCGAAAAAGAAATAACTTAAAAGTAATGTTACATCGAAAAGGTTTTTTTCCGTTTAAAATTCTCACTTCTAAAAAATATGCGCGGAAGGACTTTAGAAAAAAAGTGCTGCAAATGTATCAATGGAAAGAGCCAAAAATCAATCACATCAAATGGAATAATTTACCAGCAGAAAGATCATCAATATCATCATCAGTTGCGACGACGACAGTACATGATGAAGTAGATGTTTCTGTCCAAAAAAAAAAAAAAAAAAAAATGCATTGCTGTGGATCAAAAAAGAATAAATCGCCACAAAGCGGTGCAAAAAACATCAACGGGGTGGGGAAAAAAGAAAAAAATAAACAAGAAACTGCAAAAAATGCGCCATTGGAAATAATTACCAGCTATTATTATTGTGCAAATAATAGTGACGCAGAGAAATCAGCACTTTTAGAACACCGCTAGTTTTCTGATAATCCAAAGCCAAATTTCAGTCCTACACTGTTGGATTAATGACGAACTGCCTGCGGGAAACCAGCGCTTGGTGCACCGTAACCACGACCGCCATAACCACCACGACGTCCGAAGCCACGCGCACGCCCACGCAGAATTCCAAGGCGACGTGCTGGATCAATACGACGCCAGATGTACTTCTTCAACTCATTGAAACGCTTTTCGATTTCCTGAAGATTCAAAACATTTTTTTCACAATATGCAATTCAACATCTTTTCTGCCACACGCAGTTGGGAAGAAATCATGTTTACTTATGTTGAGCAATATAATTTTTCAGTATATTCATGACATTTGCCCGAACTTTCACAGACGAGCAAAAACCTGCCTGCTCTTCGTATGGTCCCGACCAAGTATGCGTCTCTTTGATCTGCTGGCGAAGTCTCATAAGAGCCTTACCACCCTGATTTTCACCATCCCAGAAAATTGGCTTATTTGCTTCATCACGATTTTTACGCCAGCCTGTACCGAAAACCTGCAAAGAAGCACCGCACTCTAAATTATCTAAAAAATAAAAAAAAGTCTAAAAAGTTCACTCCACTTAGTCTCGTCGAAATTCTGAAGCTCGAAGTCTTCATTACACATTTTCTAAACAAGTACTTTATCCTGTGAAGCAACGGCAATGTATGTCTTCCCGGTATAGACCAGAAGATTAGCAATCCAGCGTGTCTGTTCGAGCTTCAGACGCTGACCAGTTTCCCATACATTCATTTTCACCTGAAAAACCAATTTGTTAACAAAAACCCTGTTGAATTCTTAGCCATAACTGCAAACATATTTTTCCACATGTATCCTAATAAGACTAGATGAGAAACAAATAAGTAAGAAGGAAATAAATGAGAAAAGATGAAAGATTCCAATTTACTTCATTCCACTTAGCCTCATCGAAATCTTTAATATCCTTCATTGCTTCCTCTGCCTTGATTGTGGAAGGAGCATCGAGGATTTTTGCCATCGTTTCCGAGTCTCCGAAATGTTCAGCCATTTTGTACCTAAAAGTCATTTTAACAATACAAACAGCAACCTCATGGCGCCTCAAAATCACCAACCTGCAGTGCCAAACGACTTTTCAAAGGGAAAAACTTAGGAATTTAAGCATAAACAAATAAATTTTACCAATAATAGCGTTCAGCTGATTTATGCTCGATACCTCTTTCATCTCGGATGGCTACTTCGAATCTCAAACTAAGAGGGTCCTGCGCACCTGTAAACAAAGCTTTGAACAAAATTTATAAGAACCTTTTACAATGTCACTCCAACTTATGCAACATGATGTCTGAGACAAATTTTGAATGAAACGGCAAACCTCCCACAAGGATGAAGTCACGTCCAATATCATCATAATCCAAATCTGCCTCAGTTGCTCCAACTTTGAGATTATCCGTTTCAGCTGATACTCCACTCAACCCATTGATGGTCTCCTGCATGCGTTTCACCTTCTGCTTCACTCGTGCATTTTCCAACTGAAGCATGATAACAATACCCCAAAGTAGAAAAGAGAATGTGAGAAACGTTGCGAATTATCAGATAACCCATGATAACAGGAATATCAACATATCCCATAATGAATATCGTTTTGTATCAATACTAAATGATAAGAATCACCATTTCTGAACATAAACAGAAACTCTATATTTCCTCGCACTCATAGAGAATTGTAAATTGTGTCATAAATAGAAAAAATTCATTCTCCTTTGAAAAAGCTTAACAAAACTTGGAAAAGCATTAAGCCAGACTTTGAGTTTTCGAACTGCTTGTCGTAAGTTATCCTTTTCCTTTTCCAGCAGAACAACAGCATTGCGAATCTGTGCCGAATCTTGCTTAATCCAAATAATTTCCTGTAATTGTGATCGTCTCATGCAACACACCCGACCGTATACCATAATCAATTTCCACAACAAGTATTAATAAATGACTGGAGAATCCTTTAAATTCAGAGAAAAAAAATCGATATGCAAATTCCAATCTACATACCTGCTGTAAGCTGTAGGTGCTGTTGCCCGAGCGACGACCGTTGCCCGAAAGCGGTTGAGGGGTAGCTCCTTCATCCATTGCAATGTGTGGTGGTTGCTGATGATCAACACTGCTTTCAAAGTTGTTGAAATTTCCCAAACCGGCAAAATCTCCGTACCCTAAATGAGGTACCAATAATAAACCTCTTGAAACCTTCCGACTGGAGCAAACGCTCTTCACAGTAACTGCCCCATCTCACCCATTCAGTTGTTAGGGGCAAATACTCACTTTTTCGCTGAATATGACCGACTATTCACAGCACTCGTCTTTTTGATGTTATCAAAGCAAAAAAAACTTCGTACTCACTCAAATCTACCACTGGATGACTCATTATAAAGAATGATTTCGAGTCAGGTACCAAGGAAAATTGTTTGAAAATAGACAATACGATTACCGAGGAAAGTTTCAACCTTTTAGTCCATGAAATAAAACTTGTTAAAGCACACATAGACTGTTACCTCGCGTTCCGACTCCGGCGAAGCTCATCCCAAACCAAATAGTGTACCGTTCCCCGTTGAGTGACCCTACAAGAAGCAGGTCAAATTAGTAAAAATTATATTCGAAAGAAGCTCGAAACTTTTATTTCACAAAGCAAAGAAGAGCATCAGAATCTTTCAGCTTCAGGACATAAACACATAAGCCAAAAACTGGAAAAGTCACCTAGGAAACGAATGACAATGAAAAAGCAAAGAAGAAATCTCAATTTTGAGAAAAAAAGACTTGTAGGAAACGCCGAGAAAATTCATAGCAATAAAAATGTTCATCAAAATTATAAGAAAAAAATAAATGTATGATTCATGCTACTATCAGTAACCAAAGGGGTTAAAGATTTGAAAAGTTTCGTGCAGTGGAAGCAAAAGAGTAGGTAAGGGTTATGCTTTTTATGTTTTTTAAGTTGAATATCTAATGTAAAGCAAGCAAAGTTACCCAAAAGCTAAAAATCTGTCACCACGATGACTGGGATTCAACCGCGATATTGCAGGGCGATAACAGTGCAACTGATGATTCAGTTTGGGATAAAGAAATGGAATGATTCAACTAGTTCCTTTATTCAATTAATATACTGCCAGCACGACAAGACTGATTGATCATCCCGAAATCAGACATCACATACCATACTTTAACTCCACGAAATCTCGGAGCAAGCGGTGCAAAGCACCACAATCTAACACTACAACAGCTCCTTACAAATACCCGTTCACACCCGAACACCAAAGATCCCAAAACCCTTGGAGGAAACGGTAAACGGACAAGCATGGCATGACTGTGCTCATATTGTGCAGCGTTATAACTTCAGAGAATTGGAATGGCTGAAATGAAGGAAATATTTTGTCTCATTTTGGTTGCATTTATATATGTCTCTTCTAAGTTCTTAAAAGAGGATTTATCGAAATTTACTATCAAACACATTTGTGACACATATATGCCACGTATGACACATGTGGCACATATTTGTCATATACGTCAGCACGAATACTGTCTACAAGATAATTACTATTGTCATTTACATAGAAATGTTATAGATATATGATACGTGTGACACACGTCAACATGGATACTATCTACAAGATAAGTATTGTCAATATATGCGTGAAGTATGATTGTAAATACTATCATTCATAAAACGTGAATGTTACTGATAAGATACCAGTATTCCATCTGCGTCTAAAAATCTATGTATTGTTCGTAAGCTTCTCATCATCGTATATCCTTATCACCGTATATTCTTATTACCGTATATTTTTATTACCATATGTTCTTATTACTATATATGTATGGAATGTAAAAACTTGCTTGACGTTATGCTTTAATATAAAAAAGTTTGTTTTCAATTCACATTCAGAAATACCATAAACTGAAAACTCTTTGGTGTAAAAATTCTTGACTTTATGGAAGCATAATGAAAGCAACACTTGAAAGATAGTAATATTATCTAAAATTTTAACCAAAATTTCGGATATTCTGATGACATGCTAAAATGACAGCAATAATGTAATATTCAAATTTAATTGAAAATGTTTTAGTTGTTGAAATTGTTTTTGAAACTGAAGCGCAAATCTTCCTCAAGAACTAAACCATTGGATGGTTAATATATTAGCGATCATTCTAAAAAATTCAAAAGCGCCTAGGGGTGAGTGTTCTGTTTACATATTTGATGATTATCATAGTGCTGATAATAAATTTTAGGATAGCATTCAATAACGATATGTAAATCATTTAGATGACTTTAAATACTATCTTCCTGACCTTTTTCATCTGTCAAAATATCTGTCATTAAGACGTTGGAAATTTGAAATGTAAAATGAAATTATCTTAAAATTGAAATTCATTGTCTTAATTTGTCCATTTTCAGCTTACTTATTTTGTTGTTAAACGACATTACTGAATACGAATGTTATTGTTTCAAATAATTTATTAGCTATTATTTGCAATAATTCAGAGGTTATCATATCATCTTTGGAAAAATAAGTTTTGGGAAATGAAAAATAGTGAAACAATTAGCAATAATTCATAATGAAATCAACTCTAACTTCTTCCATTTTTCTTTTATTAGTTTCAAAAATCATGTCCTATCGTTTTAATCGTTGTATTTGTCACTATGAAATAATCATAAGATCATTATTCTCGATCATTCCAGACATTTTTTCTATTATCGTGAAATAATCATAAAATGATATTTAAGATAAACATTCAAATTTTGCTATTAGTCTTCTTTAACATAAAACTACTTCATCACTTAATTATATTGAAATTATTATAAATATTATTCCACAAAGAGCACATATTATTGCATTTTTCCTGAAGAAACTTTTTTTTAATAAAATTTATAAATTTATTAACTTTTAAAGTGATAAATTGAGAAATCCAACGAAAAACTTTGTATTTTTTATTAAATTTTGATAATGGTTAAGTAAATTTATTAAATTTCGACTGCTTCTTAGGTGTAAATTTCGACCGATTTGTCTGTTTTGATTAACTTAGATAAATCTTCATTCATTCTCATATTATAAATATTATTTATATTATAAACATTTGTCTTTCTTTTTCCTTTTTCCTTTGTTTTGTTTTTTTTTGGAACATTAACTTTTTAAATTTAATTTTTATTAATAAACGGATAATAAAAAGATTAATTTTGTTATTATTCATTTGCATAATTGATAAGTTAACATGACATATTAGGTATATTTATATAAAAAGCCTCAGGCTGGTGTAATTTCTTGGCTATATATGAGTCATTTTATCTTGTTCAACTTATTCTTTCATCCTCTTTTTTTCCTTTTATTTTTTCTGCACTTACTCTCGTTATTTCCTTTTTTTTAATGAAGAATAAGTGTTAAAATTATTATTACAAACTATTTCAATTCATTAATATATATTTGACAAGGTTATAAATACTTCACATGAAAACAAAAGCTGCACGTATAAAGTATGTTACAAATGCTACACGTGTAAAGTATGTCACAAATGCTGCATATGTAAAGTATGTCACAAATGATTTACGTGAAAACTATGTCAAAAAAATGCTTCACATGAAAAAAAAAAAGATAGATATAAAAAGCATATCATCAATGTCAATGAAGCAATTATATTTTAATTTTGAAATAAAAATTTAGAATAGTAAAAAAAGCGATAAAAACAAAGAAAATTAAAATGAAATAGTAAATAAAATGATAACTAAACGGATGGAAGAAGAAAAAAATGAGAAAATGATTGACCTCTGACCTTTTTCTTTGCATTTTTCATTTTGTTTTAATATTTCTTTCTTTTTTTTTACCCTCCCTCTCTTTCTTCCTTTTTTTTTCTTGTGAATTCAAAATTTTGCTTGAAATCTTATCAGCAGACTTAAAATTTATTTTTTAATTTAATTTGATTTAATTCGAAATCAATTCACTGTAATTTGAATGTCCATCCATTTACTTTATCTGGTTCATCTTAGAATTTTCAAAAGTTTTTGCAAAATTTTGTTTAATTTAGACTATTTTCACATCATTGTAATTAATTAATCAATTAATTAAGAATTATGACAACCTCTCATACTTATGAAAAAATTTGGCGGGAAAGGTTTTTTGGACCGAAAATACAATTGATCATTTAATTAGCTCAATTAATCTTCTTTCCCTTTCCATATATCCTTATGAGGAAATTTTCGTCAACCATTTATTCAATCCATCTAATAATCGTAATTAAATCGATTGACAATTTAGTTAATCGGGCAATCTGCTAACCTAAAAATTATTGTTTTAGGGCAAATAAATTAACATATGATTTGGGACGATCACCCAATCTCTTGCTATCGTTTATTAATGCTAAATGATAAGTTTATTTTGGCAGGATTTCAATTAAATTTAATCCCTCATTTATTCTATTATTTTAACTTCATTTTTTTTTATTGAAATTTAGCAATTTTAAAAAATAAAACAAAACTTTTCATCAAAAAAACCTGGAATTTTTTTTTTTCTTTTTTTTGTTACAGCCATTCTTGTGACTACAAAAAAATAAAATGGAATTTCACAAATTCTTACATCTCGCTTTCTCTTATCTATTAGCATATGTTTGTGTGTATGCACATGCACATGCACATGCACATGCATATGTGCATGTGCATGTGCATTTTCCCATATATGTATGTATGTTTGTGTGTTTGTATGTGTTTTATTTGTTTTATAATTTTTGCTAACATTAGCAAGAATATTGCATTTAGTATACCAATTAAGTCTTTTTGTTCTTGATATTGACTAGATTTGTTTGGAACAAATTTATCAGTTCATTTAATCCTATAGATGGTAATGTCGAAGCTAAGAACCATGTATCATTGCCCTTTTCACTAGGCTCTTTTTTACTTGGCTCATTCACTTCCGTATTATCCATCTTCTCGGTAATCAATCCAAATGATTTGATGTTTTACATGTAATGCTATTTATTCAATTAGATACACCTATGTATATTAGGATATCTGCTAATTAATTAAAATATTTTAATTTTTGTAATGTTAATGTATTATTAGCTAAACTTATGATAATACTTACCGCTGCGTTATATTCTTAGTTTACTTCAAAATTTAATACTTTTGATATTATTATGTTAAATTTTATTTCATTTAAAGTGATGCAATAATAATTGATTATATGAATAACAAATAATTTGCATCAAAAAAAAAAAGTTTGAAGAAAAATAAGAAACAAGGAAAATAGCTATCGTATCCATAAATATATGTGAATATGATTTATCCGGTTATCATATCTATAACTAACATGCATAGAGATATGACATACGTAACTATCCTGTTTGTAACTTTCATATATGCCATTATGAACACCGTAAATGTCGCATATGGAGATAAAGCGTATGTAGCTACGTGTCTGTAAATTTGGTACACATGTGAATAAGACGTACGTGACTGTCATATCTGTAAATATGATAGACGTATGAATAAGGTGTAATACGTGATTTTCATTCCATTATTCTATAAATGTTCTAAATATCATTCAGTGTTAACAAATGGCAGTTTATTTATCCGATGATTGTTATCGAAGTTAGCTTCTCTTCTACTTTTTCTTTTATTTATATTTTCTCAGAAGAATAAATGCAATGCTTCTTGGAAAAAAAAAAGGAAATTGAAAATGAGGAAGCAGAAAGTTTTTCTTTTTTTTTGCTTGTCCCTCTTTTATTTTTTCTCCCTTACTTATTCTGTATTTAAAAAGATTTACTTCTTTTGTTTTTTCTTTCAACCTTTTCCCCCCTCTCTCTCTCTCTGCTTTTACCTTTCTAAGTTTTGATCCTATTAATATGATGAATTAGTGCAAATAATAGTTAGATTCATAATGAAATACAACGAAAAGCAAAAACAACATTACCATTGACGATTGAAAAGTGACAAATAGGCAAGGAAAAAAAAACGAGAAATCAATGTCGCATAAAATTTTTGTCTAACTTATATCCAAGCCTTATATTAAGTTTAAACAATAAATTTTC